GTTGGTTTAATTTTTGTGGTCTGTTTGGATCTAGAAATCCAATTTTTTTTTTTTTTTTTAGGTTTCCCAGCTCTTAGACTCATTGTTTCTTTGTATTCTTTTCTTTGTTTCTATTTCATTGATTTCTATATTTTATTATTTCTTGTTGTCAGCTGGGTTTGAATTTGGTTTTTGTTTCTCCAACATTTGAGTTGCACTCTTTCTTACTTTTTACTGTAGGCACTTAGATTTATAAATTTCCCTCATAGGACTGCTTTCAGTATGTCCCAGAGGGTTTGTTGTGTTGTGGTTACATTTTCATTAGTTCCAGGAAGTTTTTTTATTTCTTTCTTGGGTTCTTCTTTGACCTATTCATCATTCAGGAATGAGTTGCTTAATCTGTATGAATTTGTGTATTTACTAGAGTTTTGTTTGCTGTTTATTTTAATTTGTATTGTATTGTGGTGAGACATCTTACAAGGAGTGATTTCATCTTTTTGATTCATAAAGATTTGTATTTTGTCCCAGGATGTGGTCTATTTTAGAAAAGCTTCCACATGCTGCTGTGCATTTGGAATTTGGGTGAAATATTTTGTAGATATCTGTTAATTCCATTTGATATATCAATTAATTCTGATGGGGTTTTTTTTTTTTTTTTTTTGTCTTTAATTTTTATCCAGAAGATCCATCTATTGAAGAAAGTGGGGGTATTGAAAGGGAGTACTCACCATTAATTTAATGTGTATCTCTAAACCCAATAATAGATTTTTAATGAAATTGGGTGCCTCAGAGTTTGATACATGTATGTTTAGGATAGTAATATCATCTTGGTTAGCTGTTCCTTGGTTAGAATGAAGTGTCCCTCTTTGTCTCTTCTGATTGGTTTTAGTTTGCAATCTGTTTTCTCAGATATTAGTGTACTGGTGCTTTCTTCCTGTCCCATTTGATTGGGGCACTATTAGTAGTCATCCTTTTACTCTAAGATGGCACCTTTTCTAACAGCTGAGTTATGTTTGTGTTTTCTTGGTCATCAATCAGGAGAATAACCTTCAGCTTTTTTTCTCCTTAATTTGTTGTTTCTTTGTGTCTTCTTCAAATTCCTTGAATTCTTTGAAGTTTATAATTGTCCTTTTAAATTCTGTATCCTGAAAGTCATCGAAGTAATTCTCATTGGTGAACATTTCTATAGGACTTATAGGTTTTGGAGAGAGGATAATGGCCTGATCTTTTATATTGTTAGTGTTTTTGTGATGAGATTTGTTAGTTCTGAGTAGTCTGTTATGGACAGAGCAGGTTTGGGGCAGATGAGATTGGCTGTGTCTTGGATGGAATGAATTCAGGCATTCAGAGGGGACTGGGCTGGTATATACAATATGCTTCCTGGTCCAAGCCTGGAGTGTGGGGCTAGATCTGGCTGGGTAGAAGGTACGATACGATATGGGAGCATCCCGTGGTTTGGGGAATAGGTGGGGAGGGTCCTGGCTGAAGCCTAGAGGTCCTTTTTGATTCAGGCAGGGGAGTCCAGACTAGAGTGGTACATGTTGGACCCAGGCTAGACCTAGCAGATTGTAGAAAAGGTATGTTTTGGGGTACCAAGGAGACTCACCAGTCAAAACCCTGGAGGAGGAGGACCTGGGGAGGTCTGGATACCAAGTGGGATGATTGCAAGTAGTACAGGAGGGACCTGTGGGTTATTACAAGTAGGGCAAGTCCTGGGGGAAACCTAGAGGTTGATTCTAGCATGGGTGAGTGTGGTTAGATTAGGCAGATGCATGGGATTTCAGACACAGTAGAAACCTAGAGCTTGGTCCTGCACAGTCAGTGGGTGCCTAGACTAGGCTGGGCCACTGGTTGTGGACCTGGACTGAATCTGGTGGATTGTAGTAAAGACATACATAGATAGAGGGGCTGGGAGAGGGGAGTGATACTTGCTGGGCTAGAGTCTAGAAGAGGATGTGAGGATTGTCTTTGCATGCTTTCAAAATGGATTTATTGAGATAAAATTCATGTAATTGAAATGTTTAAAGTGTACAAATTCAGTGATTTTGGTTATTTGTAGAGATGGAGTTATCAATATAGTCACCCTACATCCTTCACTATCTTTCCCAGCTTGGCTAGCCCAGCTCCAGGTATCCAAGTTGCTCTGTGACCCTTGAGATTGGCCTTTGTAAGTGTTTCAGACACCAGCTTCCCTGCTAGCTCTTTCTGGAGTCTTGGTTCTTTTTTGTTTTGTTTTTTTATGTGCATTGGTGTTTCACCCGCATGTGTTTGTGTAAAGGTGACAGATCCCTTTGAACTGGAGTTATAGAAGATCCGTGGGAACTGGAGTTACAGACAGTTGTGGTTGCTGGGAATTGAACCCAGGTCCCCTGGAAGAACAGCCAGAGCTTTTAACCTCCAAGCCATTTCTCCAGCCCCAGAGCCTTGGCCCTCTGTTCCCCTGGCTGCCTACTGGAAGCCCTTTTCTAGAGATAGCAGGATCTGTGACTTTGGCTCAGAAAGTGCTAGTAGCTCACTAGTATGCAGTACATAGCCATGCAAAGTAGGCCTGGGCAGAAGTTCGCTGAGTGAACAATAATGCCAATGAGGACTTGAGCCAGGGTGTCTTGGATTTTGAGGCTATTTACACCAAATACTAAGGTTCCCACTGTCCCCTTTGGGGAAGGTCATATAGATATGCCTAATATAATGTCACCTAAAGCCCTGCAGCCATAAACCAAAAAGATGACACATAATCAAATTGGGTAGCCTGTTGATCAGACCTCACAGGTAGGAGATGTGAGGGCCACTCAAGATGGAGGCTAAGATACACAGGCTTCAGGGATTCAGCTCGCCCCAGCTCTGATTTGCCTATACTATAGATGGTCCACTTAGAGTGTGCACTCATCATGTTTACAGGGAGAGGGGGAATATGTTCAGCTGGCTGGGCACAGCTAGTGTCCATTTAGCTCTTGGGCCTTCTGCCAACACTCCTGCATTTCAACAAATCAAGGTTCTGTCATTCTTCCAGCAGCCTGCCCCTATCCCAACTCACATCTCTTTCTACCTATGCTCCTCAGGGGAAAAGTCGTATTTGTATATTTTTTTTGTTTGGTTTTTTTTTTTTTTTTTTTTTTTTTTTTTTTGTTGTTGTTTTGTTTTGTTTTTTTTGCAGGGGGTGGGGGGCTGGCATGTTAAGGACTCTTATAAAGAAGCCAAGAAATGGGAGGATTCTTGGCTTTTCATGGAAGTTGTGTGACCCTCCAGCAAGCAAATTGCCTTCTCTTAAGTCACAGATTCTATAGCTAAATGGTGTGGCTTGATGGGGCCTTCCAGTTTGCAGAATGTTGAATAAGAAATCTTTTTCGTTTGTTTTGGTTTTTTGGTTTTTTGAGAGAGTGTTTCTCTGTCCTGGAACTTGGTCTGTAGACCAGGCTGGCCTCAAACTCACAGATTCACCTGCCTCTGCCTCCCAAGTGCTGGGATTAAAAGTGTGTGCCACCACTGCCTGGTGAATTTCTTAAGAGCCTCCCTTCCTCATGGCTTATTCAGAGATCATCTTGTAGATGCAGCAAGAGGGTTTGGATTTCCTTATCACTGCCCCACAAATAGCAGAAAGAACATTGGCTCAGTTGTCCCTTTGCAAATCTATTCTCACCAACTGAATGAAGTTGTAAAGTATAGAGCCATAGAATGTTATGTTCTTATAAAGCACTTTGTACTCCTTTTGCCAGGGTCTGGTGTGAGATGCTTTGGACAGTAAAAGTATAACTATACCTAACATTTGTTAAGGTTTTATTAGCCAAACATCGTGCTTGGAGTTTTTCCTTATGTAGTTTTATTGAGGTATAATTCACTTGCCATAAAATTCACCCTTTTAAATTATAGAGTTCTCTAGCTTTGTCATATTCATAGTACTATGCAACAATCTCCAATATCGCATCCCAGAACATTTTTATCACTTTCCAAAGAAAGCCCATGCCTTTCCCCTTGCTGCTGGGTAACCATTCAGTCTACCTGCTGTTCTGTGGATTTGCCTGCTCCAGATATAGTTCACATGAATGGGATCCTATAGTATGTAGGCCTTTGTGTCTGTCTGACTTCAATTATACAATGCTCTTGAGGTTCACATGCCTTTTGTGTGCATCAGAACCTCTGTTTGTGTCATGCTGTGCAATCATTGTATGGGTGGACTACAAATCTTTCAACCATTTATGTTTGTGGGCATTTTAGTTGTAGTACCTTTGGATAATTGAGAGCAGTGTTTTTAGAATTCTGCAGTGCAGGTTTCCATTTGTGTAGTTCTCTCACATGTTTATTACCTAGCAATAGAATTGTTGAGGCTCACAGTAGCTATATGGCCAACCTTTTCCTAACTGCCAGGCCGTTTCCCAATTGCACCATTTTGCCTCTCTGTACTAGTTTATTTTGTTAACAGTCTCACTCTACAGCTCAGACTGACATGGTGATTCTCTGGCCTCAGCCTCCCTGGTGCTGAGATTACAGGCATAAACCATCTTACCTGGCTTCCATGCTAGTTTTTACCTATATTATCACAAAAACTTCCTGAGAGTTACAACTGTTGATATTCTGCTTTTCAACAGCTCCGTGGCAAGTTGAAGTCCAGAGGTTTCCTTCTTTGCCCTTGGCTGCACCTAGGCACTGATGAGTCGTTGACCAGTGTCAGATCTCTACCAGGCCCTGCTTTACATCTTCAGGAGGGGAGCTTGGGGCTGTGTCATTTTCACTATTCCTGGTGCTCAGTCAGGTCCATTTTCCATCTTTGTGTTTGTAAGAAACTTGAGAGAGGGAGCCTTGTATCTTTAGGGTTCTTTTGCTTTGTGGGTTTTCAGATGCCCGCTGGGTTCTATGTTCCCCTAAGCATACTGTAGAATCCTGTAATCTTTTAAATTAGGCACCTGCTCCTAGATGCTTAGCTTATGTTGGGGAGTGGGAGATGACATTCTTTTTTTCAACTTGCCCTGCTCTCTTATCTTCTGGTCCTGTGATGCTGATGACCTTCCATCCTTTTTCTCTTCTAGGCTAAACCCATTTATGGTGGCTGGCTGCTCCTGGCTCCAGATGGCACTGACTTTGACAACCCAGTGCACCGGTCTCGGGTAAGAATACCTGAAAAAAATCTTAGTGTGAAGAACTAGGAGGTGGTGTATTTGAGAGCAAATTGGTAAAATTAGGCAGGGAAACAGGAGGCAAACACTGGAATCTGGGTGACAAAGTCAGCAGGGATCTAACATGAACTCTGAGGTTTCAGAAAGTTCAGCTTACATATATATAGAGAGTCCCCATTCTTGTGGGTGTCACCTATTGTAGGTCATCTGGATTATTTGAAAACAGTCAAAATGGAAAAGACAAAAAAGCAGCTAAGTATATCTAGCTAGCTGCCAGATCCTTCAGAGTCAAGGCAGTTCCCTTCTGAACCATGGGCTGAGCACTGTGAGTTCTAATAAAGGGCTGAGGCTTGGATACCTGTGCTCTCTCACTAAGCCTTACACTGTCCTGTCTCCTGGGTATAGGTCTCTTCTGGAGCAAAAGGATGGATAAAGCTGCATTTTGCTTGCTCATTCCCTGGGCAATTCACTGGGGATTCATCTCTAATCAGAGCATACTCTTCTACTTGTATTTATACAATTGCCTGAGCTCTGTTTGTCCCCCCTCATCTAGGAAGGGCCTCGTGAGTACATGCTCTGGCCCACAAAACTAGTGGCATTGTGTTTCTGGTCATTGGGCTTCCTTCTGGAGTGGATTCTGATTTCAAAGATAACACCTAGGAACCTTGGAAGTGGTTTTAGAAAACAGGTGCCCGTAGCCTGTTTTGGAACTCCAGCCTGGAAGCAGCCCTCGCAGGTCCTCTCTGTATAGCCCCATGAGTCCTGTTCTTACTCCCATGGGTGGCCAGTGGTTCCAGCTAAAATGCAGTATCCAGGAAGCCAAGTGCCTTTCCTGGTCTCTACTAAAATTTCAACAACTGCCACTTATAGCTCCTAATGAGACTAATTGTTTTAAAATTTATTTTCTGGCCTAGAGCAAAGAAACATACATAATTCTGTGGTTTCAGTGCTAGTCAACATTTGCGTTTTATTGAACTTTGTGAAATATTGAGAATAGAATCTTGAGTCCTTCTGAAATCAACCCAAGGGGTTGGGGTAGGAGCCATGCCTGTCTCTGAGTCATGGTATAAACCCACAGCCTCATGTGGTAGGCAAGACCCTTCATACAGAGAGATGATGTGTTTATTCTTCCTTTTCATTCCAGCTTTCAATGGCATTTGACCACGATAACACCCGTGGAGGCCTGGCCTTTGTTGGAGTTCTTCTCTGTTTGATTTTTGTTAGCTTGCTCTACCACTCTTGAATTCCTCAGCCTTGACTGTCTGCTTCCTGTCCCTTGAAAATCACAAGACCAACCCATTTTATACCATTTCCCAAACTGTCTTGGAAGGGATGCTGTCAGTGCCCTGCATCCTCAGGTTTTCTAGATCACATAAAATCATCCCTCTAATAAACCAGCAAACATTCTATGAAAATGCTCTACTAGCTGCCAGTAGCAACATAGAAAGTGACTATATAACAGTTCCTACTCCCAAGGAAAACTCCAACTTTAAAAATTCCATGGGGCATATGAAAGCATTTGTGATTAGGCCCGCCTCCTAACCCCACCTGACTAATGAATCACCATACTTACATCTCTGGTTTCTCTCCTCCTACCATCTAACCCAGAAGTGGAAACCTCAGAGCCAGCATTCCTTAGATTGTGTATCAGATTGGGGTTCTTCCAGCTGAGACCCAGGGCCAAGATACCTGACCCCCAATTCTGTGCTCTGTTGCAGAAGTGGCAGCGACGATTCTTCATCCTGTATGAGCATGGCCTCTTGCGCTACGCCCTGGATGAGATGGTAAGTGTCCTCAGCATTCCTAACCCTGGCCCTGCTTTTGCCCAGGCTCCTCAGCTGTGGTACTACCGGCCACATCACATGTGAGTGCAGCCCTATTCAGGAGTCTGGAATGTTTTAAAGGACTTGTAGTACTAAGTAGAAAATACTCTATAAACCCAGACCTTGTGCCATTTTTTTTTTTTTTTTTTAGCAGTTATTGTTGAGAGGAAGCAGTGAAAAAGGAAATCACTTTTGTTCAAGGTTGGGGAACATACAGTCCTGGGGGTCAAAAGGGTTTACACAGGTGGTCTTCCTGACCTGAGTGGAGACAGGCAGGCTTGTCCGGTCGTCCCAGGACTATCCCACTAGATCTTGGTATAGATTTCTTTTAGGCTGGCACTGGAGGGCTACTACTCCTGTGATCAGAGCAGATGAGCTTCTTTCTTCTTTTCTACTACCTGATTTTCTACCTGTGTCATGGGTGGGGCAAGTCCGTACTTGTCCCACCAGAGGGCAAACTCCCAGTCCAGCCAAGTAGAACTGAATGTCTGCCTCTATTTCTACCCATGTCACCTCCCTTTTCTCTAAAGGAAATTTCTCTCTCCTAAATGGAACTTTGGATGTCTCTTCTTTTGCTATTTGAGTAGACAAGTGTGTCCAGGTATATGCTGTGGTGCTTGTGAAGACTGGGACCACCAGGCAAAGTCTAGTCATGTTGTTTCTAATAGGTCCACTTGCTGTACCCACAGCAGGTTTCCTTCCCTTCCCTTGCCTTCCCTTCCCTTCCCTTCCCTTCTCTTCCTTTCCCTTCCCTTCCCTTCCTTTCCCTTTCCCTTTTCCCCTTTTTTGGTTTTTCAAGACATGGTTTCTCTGTGTAGCCTTGGCTGCCCTGAAACTTGCTGTGTAGATCAGGATGGTCTTGAATTCACAGAGATCTGCCTGTTTCTGCCTCCTGAGATTAAAGGCATGCGCCACCACTGCCCAGCTCAGGGCAGGTTTCTTAACTGTGATGCTGTGAGACTCTAAGAGAGTGAGAACTGTCTCCAGGGACACTAGGATTTGGGAGATGATAATTAGCATTTACATGTGCCCAGCATGCCCTTTTCCACCTATGCTTTCTGATGTGGTATTTCACTGCTTTCATTATGAGATCATTAGTGGGCTAGAGCCCCCTCCTTCCACAGTAACTGTCACCTCATTGTTTGCTTAAGAATTTACTCCCTGTTTTCCTTTTGGTGAACCTAAGAGTGAACCACAGTGGGTATTGCTAACTAGCCATCTGTGAGCCAGAGTAGTTTAAAATGAGCATTGACGGTGATCCAACTAGAAACAGGAACAGATAGACATTCATGATGCTCCTCTCCCAGGTTAGGAGATATGTAGGGCAAACACCACTCTTCCTGTCTTAGCTGTCAATGAGCAGCATCTCTGGGATAGGAGTTAGTCTCCCATAAGACTCATTCTTGAATTCTACAACTAGTTAAGAGTGTTGGACCCTCCAGAAGCCACTGGTTCTTGTTGGGCTCGGGCCATGAACATCTGAAAGTCAGCACAGGCATTCTTTATTTAGGTCCAACTGAAATCCAGAAGAATTTATTATCCCGTTGACTCAATCGCATGGGCACAAAGGGAGTGGCTGCAGGGCACTAGCACTGACTGCTGCTTCCCTTAGCAGCTGCTTCTCAGTAAGTAAGACCACTGAGCCAGATGTGCTGACACCTTGTGGTCCACAGTGTTTCCTAGCAACCTGGTTATGTTAATCTAATCTCTATTGCTGCAGTGAAGACCAGGATCAAAAACAACTTGAGAAAGAAAAGAGTATTTGGCTGTAGGTCCTGAGTGTAGTCCATTACTGAAGGAAGCTAAACAAGGAACGTAAGCAGGGCAGGAACCTGGAGAAAAGAACTGAAGCAGAGATCAGTGAGGAACACTGTTTGCTGTCTTGATCCCAGTTTGCACTTTTGGACAACCCAGGACTAGCAGCACATAATGGGCTGGGCCCTTCTCCATTAATCATTGATTAAGAAAATGCCCCCACCATCTTGCTTACAAGTCAGTTGGGTAGACCTGTTTTTTTTAATTGTGGTTCCCTCTTCTCAGATGACTAACTTGTGTCAAATTGAAAAAAATAAAATAGCCAGCATACAGGATGGCTAAGGCAGAGGTGACTGTGTCAGGATTGTGAGAAATGACAGACAAAAAGACTTGAAGAAAGAGGACATTGGGGGGACATCTAGTTCTAAAGGTTTTTGTTCATGGGCCATTTTCTAGCATGTGGCCTTGAAACTGGAAAGACTAATCATGTAGTCGGTTGATGTTTTTCTGCCCAGACCAGGGTATATAGTTAGTACTTGTTGAAGTGGCAAAACCAGCAGTGGCAGTCATGTTGAAATGTCTTCTAAAGTGTAACTGGGCTTGTAAGGCTTTTCCATGTTGCATTAGGAAGTTCACATAAAAGCTACAAAGGAGGTCATCACAGTGAAGATTAGGCAGCAGAAGTTAGTCAGGGTAGGGACCAGGAAGGAAGTAGCATGTGGGCTCATCTTGCTAGGGCTGAGAATGAAGGGGAGCTTACCTATCATGCCATCTGGTCTGCATCATGTCAGGGTTTACCCTTTGTGACCATTTCCTGGGGCAAGAAGACATGCCGTTCTCTACCACCATATCTTCTGCCCATTTAGGTGGGCAGAGTTCTGAGGCCTGGAGTAGATGCCTGCTTGGTCTCATGTGGCTGAGCCCCAACACAGAAATTTTCCTCTGTTTTTTCCGATTGTTTCTAAGAGCTACGATCCTCAGTAGGGTTAGTGTGCATCAAGGCTATGTGGCAGTTGTGTGGTTTGATTGAGGCAACTAGACCAGTGATGCTATTGCTACATACTGGTGGGAGGCCAAAGATGCATAAGACATCTCCCACAACAAAGAAGAACCAGCTCAAAGTTTCTGTAGTGCCCAGGCTAAAAAGCTTTGAATGATTTGGCCAGTGACTTTTTTTTTTTTTTTTTTTTTCCTTAACTTAAAATGCTTGATTTGCTATTCATTAACACAGGACATAGGACTCACCTACCTGTTTCCTGGAGTGAGATAATAAATGACAGGCTATGGTTATCTTACAGCCTTTCTTCATCTTGAGCATTTCTGTGGGACCTTCTGTACTTCTGTTGCCTATGTATGCGGCTCACTCAGGGAACAAATCTGTATTTTCTATGGCATTTTTGGATCATGGTGCTTATGAAGTGTTCCCATCTGGGTGCCTGTATCTAAAAACAGCATTTTTGAGCACTCTATGATTTGCCTCTGGTCCTCCTGGCATGTGTGGCTAGACTGCAACCCTCAGTGGTAGCCTGCCTGCCCTTCCCAGTTAGCTGACTAGCTGCACCATTAAGTTGTAGCATTTTATGACTGGTTTCCTCCCTTAACACTTAGTCACAATCTGGTTCAAATTGCCATCCCCCTGTTATACATTATACTACTTTTTTCCTTCTTTTAAATGCTTTTTTTTTTTTTTTTAAATCAGCCAGACTTAGAGTTTTCTGCTGTGATTGGGGTCTTGATAATTCTTTGTTTCTTTCCATGTTATCTGGATGCTGGATGGGGTTCAGTGGACCAGGCATAGCAAAATGTGTGGAATTGGGCTCACCAGCTGTGGTGAACTAGAGAAGATGGACTGGGGTGGTCCCAGAAGTGTAAGGAAATGTGGTGAATTTGAATGGCTCTCTGCAAAAAGGGGAAATGATGATGTCCAGAAAACTGAGAAGTGTTGAAGATGTCTCTTGGCCCTTAGCTGGACTGTGAAGCAACAGGTAAATGTCTGATGGTTGTAGTGTGCCCTCAGGAGGTAGGTAGTGGTACTAGCTCCAGGTGCCTTAGGACTCTGGCTGGCTAAATAAGACAGTCCAGGTCTCTGGTCTGACCCCTGCCTTTTCAAGCAGAGCTAAAATGGCACTCACTTTTGGAAACCTCTCTTTTCCTTTCTGTCTCCACACTCCCAAGTAGTGAGGCAGATTTCCCTGAAAAGAAGAGAAGCTTCCAGAGTGCTTGTTGATGGGAGGGGCATTATGGCCCACAGGCACAGTGGAACCTGGAGAAACTAAGGCTACTACTTTTCAGGAGAGGGAAAGCAAGGAACCTAGAAACACCACTGCTGCCCCTTTTTTTTCTTTTTGCTCCATGACTGGATCTTAGAGGAACTCATACAAGACTAAAGGACTGCTTGTAAATGGCAAGAAGTTCTGGGCCCCATAGTGTGCCTTTTCTTTTCATTTGCCCACATACAAGTAAGGCAAACAGATGATCGAATGCTTTGTTGTTTTTTATTGTGGTAAAATATGCATAACATAAAACTTACTGCCATGAGCACATAACACAAAGCACACAAGTGGCAGCGGGTACTCACACATGTAGCCATCACTGTCCAAGTGCATGCGAGCTCTGTCATCTTCTCAACAGAAACTGTTCCCATTGAGACCATACCTCACTCCTTGGCCCTATTCTCTTGCTTGTATCTCAGTTTGATGCCATCAAGAGTCTCATACAAGTTGGTGTCCAATACCAGAAATGTTTGGGACAGGTGGAGTTTAGTATTTTGGAGATTTTTACATTTGGGGATATTTGCATTGATACTATGTGTCATCTTGCGAATGAGACACAAGTCTAAATAGAAAAATAATTTATGTTTCAACTATACCTTGTACACATACCCTGAAGGCAATTTTACACAGTGTTTTTCTTGCATGTGAATTTTGACTGTGCCCCATCATGAGGTTAGTGTAGAATTTCCTGCAAGTCGGAGTTTGATTATATTTTGGGTCATTTCAGATTTCAGATTTTGTGTGAGTGGACTCTTAGCTGCTTGTATCTAGGATATTGCACTCTATATGTGTTCTCAACACACCTTGCTATGGCATGTTGCAACATGTAGCAGGATTCCCTGCCCTTTTCACTTTGGTAGGTCCACAGTTCTTGAATCCCATCTGCTCTAAGATGGCTTGTATCTCTGCATGAAGGTCATTGGCTTGTAATGC